AATGGCTGCAGTCTCATTTGTTCCAGTGGAGTTTTTCTTTGCATGAAAAAGGAATTGGCTCGACCCAGAGAGGTGGTCAGAATTATGATGGATGACAGGCAACCGCAGATCAGCCCCTGTGATTTCAGGTCTGATCGCAGTTGTCTGCAGTTCTGCTGTAACACTCATGGAAGACACTTTATGTGTTAAAACTTGCTTCAAGCCTTTGATATCTGTGACCTTTTAAAAAACCTCTCTTTTAAATTTTGATATTCCCTAAGAAGACAGATGGTATTTTTTGATTGAATTGATAGAGATTTCATGTCTAAACACATTTCTTAGTTTCATTTTGTTGGACTAGTTCACTGCTCTCTGTATGTTCTATGCTGCTTAATCTTTTATTCTAATTTGGTTTTGAATGATACTATCAAAAGGTTACAAAGAATTAAATATGCAGAAATCCCCTTGGAAAACATTAGTAATGTTCTGCTAGTGTTTCCCTTTGGATCCAGATTCAGGTATCTACAGTCCCACGTACAGCTACACTTCCAAGCCAGAAACTGCCCCTGATACCTTCTGATTGGAGTGATTGACTCCAAGTAGCCTGAGTAGCCGGATAAGGTAGGGAAGCTGTGAAAAAATTGCAAAGCCTCTAAAGTTTTGGCTCTGGAGAGGGTGAGAAAGAGCCCTCCAAGTACTGATGCAGTGCCTACCACATGCTAGGTGCAGTGCATCTGTCTTGGTTACAGTCTCATGAAACAACAGCTGAAGTACCAGAACTGGTGCGCTGTTTTCTTCTTCTTCCATTACCTGAGGAAGTCATCACAGGGCAAATGGTGCCTTTTCAACAAAACAAAGAAAACTCCCTGAGCACTTCCCATTTACAGCACAATCATAAAGCCCCTGTCAAAACCCCGAACCATTCCCATACCAATTCAGCACACAGCATTGCTGGAATGGTCAGTGTCAGTAGTGAAATAGCTGGTGCAGGGGCAGGAAACAGAGGCTGCTGTGTTCTTGGTGCTGCAGCTCGGACAGAAGATGAAGTCATGGTAGTTCAACATTTGGTGAAGACTTAACTACTGGTTTTCTGGCTTTCTGTTTATGCTGGAATAAAACCTTGGGGGAAAAAAAAAAAAGTTTGAAAGAAATTTTGGTTGTTAGGAATGTGTATGTGTGTGTTTGGCCCTAATTATTTATCAAAACCTTCAAACCCAAGAAATAGAACTGCCTGCTTTTGCAGAGCTGTAGGAGAACATGGCTACAGTCTTTCCTTGGTGGTGAGATGGTTGCAGCAGTGTATTTGTAAGGGCTTATTTTTACTGTAATGGTCAGAGAATGATTTTGAATGTCTTACAAACAGGCACATGGCATAGGAAAAGAACAACCGGACATGTTTTTTACCTTGGCCGTATTGTTTCTGCCTTTAGCAAGTGACACTTCTTAGCTTATTCAGTATTTAAAGCTTGTTTTCTCTGCATAGCGCAGACCTAAGAGACATGGCTGAAACTGAATATGGAGCATCAGACATTTATTGGGGAGGTGGAAAATGCATCTGGTTATTGTGGTTTCAGATTTGGGCTTGGGTCAGGAACAAATTTCCTAAATTTTCAAAGTATTTTGGTATACTGATCTTTGTGACATTCTTGTGCTTATTTCAGATGCTGAGGAGAAATGCAGTAAGAAAAAATTCTGGATTTTATACTTAGTCTGAATGAAGTCAAAAGCCAGATTTCATGCAGGGATATCAAGCATTTGGCACTTTAGGAGATGATATTTCTAGAAGGGTGGTTTTCTTTGGTGGTATTCTGAATGTCCCAGTTCTTGGCTGCCAGACTTGTAGGTTGAGAAACTGCCTGCTGATCCATATCATCTGAGATCTGAGTCCATTTAGTGAATCTCAAATTGAGCATCCAAAAGCAGAAACATTCTGACTCATAATCACTGTGAGAGATCTTGGCCTAACCATGTCAATTAAGAACGGTAGGTCCCTAGTAGAAAAGAAACTTGACAGTGTGTTTCCAGTGACAGCCATGATATTATTGTTCACTTACGTTATGGAATCATAGAATCAACCAGGTTGGAAAAGACCTTTAAGATCATCACGTCCAACCATTCCCCAGCACTGCCAAGGCCACCACTAACCCATGGCACTGAGCACCTTGTCTACACGATGTGTGAACACTTCAGGGACGGTGATTCCAGCACTGCCCTGGGCAGCCTGTTCTAATGGCTGAGCACCCTTTGGGGAAGGAATTGTTCCTCATCTCCATGTAAACCTCCCCTGGTGCATCTTGAGGCCATTTCCTCTTGTCATGTCCCTTGTTCCTTGGGAACAGAGACCATTTATCAAAGATATGCCCTTGTTTCACTTTGGAGATGTAGATTAACATCACTGTGACTTGAGGTACCTTGTGTGTCTGTGTGTTCATATTTTAGACTAATGTTTGATGATATGTCCTTCAAAGGTCTCATTAAACTCTTGGTCTAATAAGATTAAGACTGCTAAAGCACAACATACATGTTGTGCTAGAATATTTACACTAATATTCTGCTACCCTGCTACACAGCAGAATATCAGTGTAAAAGTGCTGTTGCAGCTAATAGACTTCAGCTTCAATGCACTGTCAGCTGGAAGTTGTAGTCTATGAAAGAGTCTTTTTTTGATAAAACTAAAAGATGTTGTAGAAGTGAAATGTGAACGTTTTGGAGAAGGGTGCAGTGCTATACATAATTTATTGGGCACTGTTTGTACAGTCAATTGTTGAGTTATAAATAAAATGCAGCCTTAGAACAAAGGTGAAAGGGTAAAACTGGGGGTAGTTATTTCCTCTGTATTTCTATTAAAATAAAAAAACAGAAAGAAAAGGTTTCCAAGTTTGTTCAGTGACATTTTGGTTTCGTTATTGATATTCACAGTGTTGTGCCTATTTTTGGATGTATCGCATTGAAGACTTTCTTCTCTGCCATGCAGAGTGCCTTTTCCTCCAAGAAAATCTTCTGCAGGCTGCAGGACTGTTCTTGAAGTTCAGTGAGCTGCCAAGGCACAGCCAAGGGGAAACCACAGGGAGGCAAATGAACCTCTGCATACTGAATTTCCAGGTCCAAGAGCTACTGAAGAATAAACAGCTTGACTTGTCTCATCGACATAAGGCCCTTTGGTGTCTTGTTCCAGTTCATCACCTACCTTCATGGTAGCTTCCCCCATCCCACCTGAAGCTCAGCTCCCATTTCTTTTAGGTAGAGGGCACTGAGGGTTGGTACAGAGAGCAGCTCCACAGCCTGCACTGGACAAATGCTTCCTGCCAACAGAGAAATCTCTTGAACTGGAGAAATGTTGAACCCATTTAAGATCATTAAAAATGAGTTTAGTGGATTTAAGAATACAATCTGTATACTCTTCAGAATAATTATATGTCTTTGCATTGGTGCTAAGAATAAGGTGAGAAAGAGGTTTCTTCTTAGAAAGATAGAAGCTCTGAGCAGGCTTTCTGTCCATGGTGGAGTTATTTCCTGAATGTGAGGATTAGCACAGGCGGGCCTGATGAAACAACATATATCATCTTATTATAGGTCACAGGCTAAGCATCCCTTGCAGGTACTGTGCAGGAGTGGGAAGTGCTTGGTTTGAAATCTCCTCGTTCTCCTACGAGTGGTGCTGATGCAGAGCTGCAATATTCAGCAGAATCATTCTGGTTGCTGAAGACGAAAGACATGGCCAATTTGAACTTCAGAGTGAAACATTTCCTAGAACTGAGCCTGAATAAATTCTGGAACAGTTGAACAGGAAATAAGCTAATAATGGGATTTTGCAATATGCATTTCCCATATAAGGCATTGAAATGTAGCATGGGTTTGTTTGCTGATCATCTGGCTATTTTGATGTAAATTGGGCTTCATTGTGGTTATGAGTACTTTGCTTCATTCTAGGCTGAAGTGTTTCACCTAGTTGCTGTCATTGGTGGTCCCTGGATGGACCGTTCCTACAACAGGTCAGGGAAGAGACTAGTTAACAATCCCTCCTTGCTGCCTTTTGTTTGTGTTGGGGAGCTATTTCCTTTAGCCCTTGAGAGTGATGCATAGGAAGGGGAAGAGAGGTGGGGAGCACCCGTCTCAGTGCTGTTCATGCTTCTGAAAATAAGTTCCCCCAAATCTGATGTGGGGAAAGGAAGCCCGGGCTCCACGGAGCCTGCTGTCTCCCTCAATAAACAAAGGACTGGATTTGGGCAGTGTGCCCAAAGTGTTGGTGCAGGGTGTGTTCCCGTCCTTACTGCTCTGGCCTTTTAAGGCTATGTGACAGTATGCTGGAGACCACAGTAAGGTGTGTAATTCAGCAATGATTAATGAGCACAAGGCTCTTCTGCAGCTTCGGTGTTTCTGTAGCATTGGTCAGATTCCCTTCTCACAAGTAACTCACTAAGATTTTCAGAGTTTGGCCTCTTCTGCACTGCGAGTACAATCTCTTGCCAGCTCTTATGCTACATTAATTTAGAGCCATCTACCTTTCCAGAAGTGCTCTGTATTGTGCAACAGGTTTTCCTTGTAAATGCGAAGCCAGATGTTCAAAAGAGGAGAGCTCCCGTTTAGGCATCTAGCAATTACTGCTGTGACACATACCGATTGCAGCTGCAAACGTGAAATCTGTCTGCTTGGACAGTAAAATATTCAGGCTGGCTAGTTTGTGTAGTGCTATAAGAAGTGGCCTATATGCATATAATTCAGGAGTTGCTGGCTAGTTTGTGTAGTGCTATAAGAAGTGGCCTATATGCATATAATTCAGGAGTTCTTTCAAAATAGAATGCACTGAATCATGGTCTCGCTTAGTTTTAAACCACAGCTTGTGCCTAACTAGTTATTCTGATTTATTGCCAAGCAGGGGCTCATTTTCCAGTTACAACTAACATTTCCCTTTTCTGTTTCTGCAAAATCTGTTAATGAATGCTAAATGAAACAATGAAGGTCTACTGGCTAGATAAGAAGTACGTCTGATTTATTAATAAATGTTTCTTTTTTTTTCCCAGTGACATATTTGATGCCATGTTCCCCGTCACACACATCGCAGGAGAAACAGTCATACAACAGGGTAATCCTTCCTCTCATTTTTTTCCTTATATGTTTGCTAAGGTTGTACAATTCACATCTCTCCATTTGACATTTCACTCTCTTTGCTTAACGGGAAGAATAACCATATTCCAAAAGCATCCAAGTGTGCAGCTATATCATTAGTTCATGGATGCAGGTCTTTTGCTACATGTGCAGAGGTCTCCTACAAAACCACACTGGTAGGTCTCTGCTACAATTAAATGTAGATAAATAGCACTTCAAATTAAAATGTTCATTCCTTAACTGAAGATAGTCAGGGAATAAACCATAGCTCAGAATGAATAAGGGTGGCACAGGCTAGCTGACAGTAATTAGAAAATATTTTAGGGTTGTTGGGAATATTCAACACCTCATTTTGCTGTATAGTAGTTATCGCACTTGGCAACTTACCTGCATGCCTGCAGCATGTTGTGGAGGACTTCATTACCCTCAGGCTATATTAAAGCCTCTTGTGTGTTTACACTGAATGAAGTGTTGAATCAATCGAGAGAGATAAATTAATGCAATTGAAAGATACTAATAGGAAGAAATTGTAGTGATGTTTTTATATGTGAAGGTAAATAGGAAAGGATGTTTCTCTCTATAAGTAATCTGGTATACAAACTTGTGCAAATATGTGCAGGATTAAATGTGGAGACGGAAAATTATTGAATAGTTTAGCAGGCCTTCAGGAAACAATCACCTTCTGTATTCTGCTTCCAGGTGATGAAGGAGACAACTTCTATGTGATTGACCAAGGCGAGGTGGATGTAAGTGAACTCTTACAGTGTAGTATTTATTTTGAAGGTTCAGAATAAAATTGTATGCTTTGGAACACAGCTTGGTCTAGCTATGTGCTGTGGTTCTGTCTCCTTTCTTCTTGAAATAGATTTCACAGGGTTGATTTCATTACTTTGCTTTTGTTAAGTCATTTGTGCATAATTTTATAATTGGCATGTTTTACATCCTAGCTTATTTGTCCATTCCAAGCAGGAAAATATGGTATCAAACCCAAGCAAATGACATCTTCAGAACCCTAACCACACCTGGAGGTGTGCAGTCTTTGGCAGAGAAGGCCACCATGCTGGAATGCACCCGAGGGTTCAGATCAACCATAAGGAAAATATTTTCTTTAATCAGTTAGCTTAGCTCATATGTTGTTTGTTTTTTTCCCAAATTGAGATACAGCCTCAGGCAGCGAGTTTCATCTTATAAACCTCCATTTGCTTTTAAAATTAGGTCCAAATATATGAACAATGCAGCATATTAATAAAGCAAGGATTATTGTAAGTGTAAAGTGATCTGTTAGACCACAAAATGTTTACAGGAGTATGCAGTGGTTTAATCAGCATGTCTTTGAAAAGAATCTTCTTTCAGAATCAGCCTTCCAAAAAATCTGTTCACCTCTTATCATTTTTATCCCATGTGAAACTCAGCCTTTTGCACTTTTGCTGCAAGTTCCTAATTTGACTGAATTTTCGGCACACATCTTAACGTATCCACAGGATAGGGCAGGCTTGCTTATTAGCAACGTTGCTCTTCAAATGCCCAGATGAGTTTTGTTGGGCAAATTTAAAGAAGAAGGTGATTTATTTTAAACCTGGGCAGGAGGCATACAGTTATTTTATTTTTAGCAGTCTGTGTCAGGAGACCATCTAATTGGTATTGTTGGGAATTGAGAAACCTCACATGCTGCCTCTGCCTCTGGAAGTTGCTCCTCAGGAAATCCGTCTGACTCACTGTTCCTATCGGGCATACCTCTCAATAGCAAACATTGCCACATCCACAGGGCCAGAAAATAAAAGAGCAATATTTATAGAACAGTGCTAAAATTTAGTTTTTAAATAATTGATTAGGGTCTGATACTGAGCTTAATGAGTTGACTGCCTTTGAATCAGACCCACAAACATATGTTGAAGTTACAGATTAATCCTCTTTAAAATTAGTTTGTACTCCCTCAAAACCTTTAGCAAAGCTTTCTTCATCATTTGGCTTCGGGATAGTGGGGGACTGGATGACATTAGAAAGCAGTCTGCAAAACACTTGTAATTAATTGCAAAAAATATAATCTTCCATATGCACATATTGCTCTTGCAAAGCAGTGACAAAATGCAGCAAATACGTGTCTGTGGCCTCTTCAGCTTGGTTCTGCTTGTAAAACCATTGCACAAGGTGGTCTGTGCATTTTCTGTAACTGGTGGTTGCCACTAACGGCCAAGGTGGTCATGGCTTGTCAAATGTTGAAAAGGACTTTTTTAGTTACTGTGCTTTCTGTCGGTAAGGTGGTATCATAGTTCTCTTCCCAGGTATACCATGGCATCTACTCAGAAACCCCTTTACTGCATCATGTTAGTTGTATTTCAGAGGTTCTTCATGGTTTTATGGGAAGTTGAAATCCTGTCTTAAATAATCTTGACCATAAATGGCCCAAAAAGAGACAGATAATTTTTATTGATTTTTTTTTTTTTTGAGTTCATGAAAGTCTTTTGCAGAATACTCTTCTATTTCCCAGAACAATTCAGGGATCTGTGAAGCTTCTGAGGTAGGATCTGGCATAAAATTTGAAAAACTAAATGGCCTCAGTGTCACTGCATTGCCATGCCATGTTGGCTCTTAAGCTGTATAGATGTTTTTGAAAATACTATCCCGGACCAAGCAAAGCGCCAGTCCTCCTTTAAGCACATGAGCAATTCTGATGATTTCAGTGGGACTCACTTTTTTGCTAGGCAAAAAGCATAGTGCACAGCTTTGTTTTAATTTATTAGAGTTGAAGACAGAAGGTTTTGGGTTTTTTGTATTCTAAGTAGTTTGCAGTCCTCCAGTCATTTATATATGATATAAGATACACAGTTTTTCTGCCTTGTCTTTAAGACTTACAACAGCAGATTTCCTAAGGAGTGAATGAAATAACTGGGTTTCGTTGTGTATTTTTCATAAGCATTCTCAATCCATGCTCCCCTAATTGCTAAAATCATCGTATAGCTGCTAGGACAGATCAAAATGGACAGATGTACAATAACATCATCCTGACACTTCTCAAGCACACATATGGAGAGTTTTCTGACATGACAAATACATCCTAACAAGGCTTAAGAGATGTCGTTCGGACTGAGCTTATTCCAGGGCCAAGCAAACCTCCTGACCCTCTAAGTTTTGCAAAACTCTTATGTAAGTGACCAGCTCTCATGCTGTTCCACTTCAGCATCCCACTTTCTTCATCCTGCTGCACCTTACCACTCTTCTGGGCATCTCCTCAGCTAGGTGCTCTCTTTTTCCTAAGGTTTTCCCACATCTTCAGCCAAAACACATGCTGAATTCCTTTGCAGGATATTGTGGAAGGCACAAGAAATGTCTGCTCACCCAGGACCAAGTTGCAGCTACACCCAGGTAGCTACAGAAGTTACTTACATTAACTGCCTTTGCTGGGAAGCTACAGTGAGGAGAGCCCATTTTCCCCCCACAGAGTATATTCTGCGCCAGGGCAGTTAATGCAGGATAACTTGCTCCTGTGTAAGGCAGCAGCTCTCAGTCCCCATGGGTGTGCACCACTACACTGTATATAGAGCTCCCAAGAAAAGAGGTCTTCCATTTTCTGGACAGCAGTGCTAAAATCCTTATTGTCTGAAGAAAATCCAGACCGCTAGTAAGCAAGTTACAGTTCATTTAAGCCTTGCCAGATACTTTTTTGGCATGCTTCCACCCTTCCTCAAGAAAAAAAAGCAACTTGGAAAGTAGACAATTGACCCTGGGACTTAAAGCCTCAAGCCATTTTCTGCCTACTTCAGCTGGTGTTGGCATATGCATGGAGACTGTTAACCGCTGGCCAGGTTATCTGCCTTCATCATTTACCTGATTTCCACAGAAGTGGTAGGTATTCCAGGGCTGGTGGATTCAAGGGGCAAATGTGTACTCTGAACACATCATGACTGATAAGCACCTGGGTCTTCCATATACATGCAGAGATGCACGTAAAGGATGTTGCCACCATAAAATTCCCAACCGCTGGAATAAAGTCATGGCAAAACTGAAAAAAATCAAACATAATCAATCAAGTAACCAAAACCAAACAGAAAATCACCAATGAAGCCAGAATAATAAAATCAGTGTTTGGTGTTTTGAGTTTAAAAAATTGCAACATTTAGAAGTAATTTACTGTTAGAGTTTTGGCATAGGCACCCCAAAGAGTAAGTAAGGGCATTTTAATGTTTTCCCTTAAAAATAATTTGAGTCAAATTAGAGTACAATAAAACATTTTTAAATATATTACATTATCCTCAACACTTTTCTTAGGGTGTAAATAAGCTTCATTAGCATAGAATAAAGTATCTGTAAGTTTTCTTCTTGGTGTTACTATGAACAGCCAAGAAGACTGGGAACAAAGGGAGAAGGGCACAAATTTTCATACATAAAAGAAAGATACAGAAATCCATAAGAGGTAGGTCTTGGAGAACCTGGCATTTTCCCTCTCTTGCTGTATATTACAAACCAGGTGTACTTTGACCAAAGCTGGCATTGGATGGGAAAGGATATTATAGCGTTGTCAGTCAGTCTCTTTTTGTCATTAGCGCTTCAGGGCTGATGAGGATTGTTAAGTTGTGACCTGTCCCTGCAGATGGGTGAAGATTATACTAGGTAGATGATGGCATGAGGTTTGAAGTCTTAGAGGTCAGTTGTCTACCGAAGGCTTTTCTGCTCAGACAAATATGAATGTATGCCAAAAAGTAGCTGGCAGAGCTTAAATTATAGTTTCCAGTAAAGATGTTGAAAGTACCTGCTAAAGTATGTCTGGCAAAAATCTCTAATCCATATTTCTAAATATAAAAATGACTTCCTGTTTATTATTTTAATCTTATAACCTCACATTTTTTACTTTAAAAAGCACCGTCAACTACCCTTTTAAAACAGATGTAGGGTTTTTTTAGACTCAGCAACTTCCCATTCCATTTAATGTCACAGCAACTTTCTCTACAGTCATTCTCAGGTTTTCTTCTTGTAAAACAACAGCATCCAAACTATAGTATGGTGAAAATCAATATGAAAACTTTTCAGTATTTTCTCTAAGTACATTCTGTATTCACTGTATAAATCTGTATGTGAATCTGTACTTGAATATTGTGGGTGATTGATACGATTATCTTTTGAGTGTAGGTCAAATCTTCTTGAAGCCTTTATTCATACATACAGACTATCCAATTTGTATATACAAAGATGAAAATTAAATCGTGGTTTATGTGAGAATACTGTTGTATTTTAAAAGTAGGTATACTGTATGGTTACATTTCATAGATTGCTTTTGGTTTAAATTCTCCCAGCATTAATGATCTTTCTGATTTCAGAAGGATGCTTTTTGAAATTTGAAACAGAATGTTTTAAAGTTTGGAGGTTTTCAGCTTGAATTTTCAAGGATTCTCAAGGCAGTTTCCAAGTTCATATATTTATATTTAAGAAAAGCAAATTCATACTACAAATAAAGCACTGGCTTTATTTGAGAAAACTACCCACATATAAATACCCTTCATGTCTCAGGCTTGCTTATATTTCCAAGAATGAATAAACCTCATCGTCATTTTTGGGTAACAAATATTAAGGCTTGACAAGACACAAAGCACAAGTTATTACAAACAGATCCAAGGGGGGGAATTTAAGATCTGAAAGTTGCCATGCCTGGAACAAATTAGATTGTCCACATAGATCACAAAGTGGCAGCAAAAAAAACCACAAACAAGCCCAAAAGCTTAAAGTTAACTTGAAATCGGCAATACAAAATTAAAGGTAAATTCACTCCAGTCAAGCTCAGAGATAGATCATACCATATCATACCTTCAAAGTAAAGTGGATATATTACTGCTCCTGGTAAGGTTACTTTCTGCTTCTCTAGACAACACCAAGATGAGTGAGGCCAAGAGGCATTCTTACTGCATTGAGCATTGTGTGATTCATTGCATTTTCTCTCCTGGTTAGTGCCTATGTATATCACAGCCCATGAAGAAAGGAACTGTTGACGTTCACAGGAGACTTTTCCCATTTGCCTCCCCTCAAAATAATGAAATGAACCAAGTTGTGTGATTTTCAAGCCTGCCAAAACTGCAGGGCTCATAACTGCATGCTAGAAAACACTAGAAAGCTGAAGTACTTTTGATCTGTGGAAAGAAGGCAGTCCTGATGGCTTGGTCATATTTGGGCACCTCCAGTTCTACATTCCTCTTCAGCTGCACAAAAGAAGGTGCCAGCTCTTATGGAGCTGTGATCAGCAGGTTAAGTAACAATTAGGAATAGTTCACTTATGTACTTGCCACTTTCTGAGAGTTCACAAATGCCTAAAACTGCCTGAGCCAAAACCTCAGCCCAGCATTTTCTAGGATAAAGAAGGAGATCATCTGAGCTGCTGCCATATAACATTGGCTTTCATAAGCTGTTCTGAGCCTAAAATAGCTTTACTTCCCACACCTTACAAACAGAGCTACTTTCCTTTCTACTTCTTTTTTTAAAACCTATTTTAAAGGGATTCATAGTGGAGCTGAACTCTGTTAAAGGGCAAAATGGCTTCTTAATGTGCCATCAATATACTTTAACTTCATAATGAAGACAAAAGTTGACTTAGGCCTTTTCAGAGAATGAAGTGCAATGGTTTTGCCCCTAGAAAGCAACACTTGCTCTCAAGATGTTTTTCTCTTTCGGAGATTGATATTGGAAATGGCATTTTTATTGGGGGAGTGAATGCTGGGCACAGAGACTGTCAGATCAGTGATTTGGTTTCACCTCTGAGTCCTTTAAACCTGACACCCTTAGGGTGGAGGAATGGCCGTTTGCATAAACTGTTTACAGGAGAGATGTCAAACATGGTTGGGAGAGTCTAGTCAAGTACCACAGCAAAATTAGAGAAGTCTTAGAGCAGTTTAGGGGGAGCCTCCCTCTGTAATGACCATGCAAAGTAAATGTCCATCCTTCACTTGCTCTACCTTGAGTTTTACCAGCATAATGACCCTTTCTGGGCTGCAGTCTTATCATGAATACAGCTTTAAAAGAAATGTCACTGTATTGCTTAAAAAAATACATGTTGGAATAACTTTACTTCCCACTTCTAATTCAGACCCTTCTGCAATATGAAAACCTGTGCTTTTCAAGAAAAGAGCATCTAGAAATACATGTATTTTTGGTGTGCTGAAAAAGAGTCAAGGATGCAATGTCAGTTGACATGGGTGTGGTCCAAAACTCATCTGAATTACTAGATTTTCCACATCACCCCCTGAAGACAGGAATTACTGTACTGTAGCAAACCCATAGTCCCACCAGCAAAATCCCTACAGAAAGGGACTATCCCGACTTTCAGATAGGCATCTGGACAATTTTTTCAATGGATTAGCTGAGTTTTAAATGTTTCGTACATTGTCACTATATTACAAGCCTTTCAGAATCCAGATTTTATTCATCCATTTCTCCTGCTTGTCTCACAGAAATAGGTCCAGTATTACCTGCTTTTTTCACCAGGAAAGTGCTTGGGTTTGCCTGGCTTTTTTTAAAAGTTCTTTTTTTTGCTTTCATTTTTTTCATCATGAGGAGAATCAAAAGTAGATTCAGTGTTCTGTGAGATTTTCTTTCTGTGGTGAGTGTGAAAGTTTGAAAGGAAATGCTGTTGTTATTCTCCTGTGTGGTATCCTTCAATGTGGCATTCGTTCTGTTGTGGTGAAGAAATGAAACTATAGCTTTTGTGGCTTTAGCTCCTTCTTGGCAGTCTGCTACCACCTGCCTGTTTGGGATTATTTTTACCCTTAATTTTAGCCTTTTGATCCCCAGATGCTCCAGGAACACCAAAAGCCACAACACTGCCTGGAGTTCAGCAGTGATGCTAATATTGCTTCTTTTCAGCTGATACCCAAGAGGTCTCTTGATTGGCTGAACTGCTCCGTGGCCTCATTCATCTCCTACTGAGGCAGCATTTCATTGACCTCAGTAGAAGCTGGATCAGATCTTAACTGAAAATTGCTAAGATAAATTGGGATTGATTCCAGCTGTAGTCTGTAAAACACCTTTTCATCATAAAATGAAGATAGAAGTAAAATTAATACTGACAGTTTGTTGAATTTTGACCCCAATTCATTTAGTTTGGTCACTGTCTTTTCTCATGCCCAGCTTGAGCACAGCTCTGATTCATGTAGTAAGACATGCTAGTCTGTTACTCAGTAATTGATAACGGGTTTCTGCTTAGGATAAGAATACTTGTGTATTTTCTTCACAGTATTTGCTTCTCAGAGCTTCCAGACAAATGAAAATCATTCTGGTTGGTTTCTACTGTTATCAGTCTGTAACAGATTGGGATGTATTCTGCACTGGGTAAATGCACACAGTTCTTCCTACCCTCTAGACTCACAGACACATTAACAGAATGAAGAGGGTTTATTGTGTAGGTTTACAGCAGCAAGCCTACAAGCAAACTGCAGAATACACAATCCATATCAGTCTTCAAATACACTATTATGGCTCATGAGCTGTACAGTCCATGAATAGTGAGGAAAACGCAGCCCAGTGGCAGGCACCTGCATGAGCCCCCCTTTCTCCAGTGAAGGTATTAAATAGCGCTGAAGTGTAGGAATTCTTCTCAAGTTAGACATCATCCGGGAAAAATAGTGATAGTGGTATTGATCCGGAGTGTGTTTTGAGAGGGTGTGTTACCTAGTTACCTGTATAGGCTGTGGGTCAGATACTGCTTCATAAGTTCTGTAGAGCTGATGTTAAAGACAGAGGGTAATTCTAGATACAGCTTTTCAAGTCCAAAGCACTTCATAGTTTTCACTAAGGTAGAAAGAGATCTCAATCATTATATTTAGATTATTACTGGGAGCTTAGGGAAGACAAAAATGTTCCTTTTCAAAAGATGTTTCCCTGTTTTGACTGTTTTACATTTTGTGGCCATGGTGCTTTTCAGCAAACCTCATTACATAGATCAACAAATCTCCTTCCTTTCAAGTTTGACAGTGTTAATGAAAAGCCAAAGTTGTGACAGTTCTGCATGCTGACTGTCTGAGCCTTGAACACAAGAGGGAAAACACGATGCCAGTTAACCATGGGAGCTGAAAACTGAGAGAGTAAATGCAGTCATTGTACTGAAGCAAGACAACTTGAAATTCTGTCCACAAAGCGGGTTGTTGCCCTCTTTGGGGACTAACTGTGGAAACTATTACCCTCTTGTTTTCCTTCTGTGTCTCCAGCATTGACGATTAGAAAGGAAATTACTAATTGCTTTTTAGGTAACTGGCAGTAGGAGGAAAACTGCAAGTCCCCAAACTTGTCTTGTGCCATGGTAGGTTTATGTCAACGGAGAGTGGGTCACCAGCATCGGAGAAGGAGGCAGCTTCGGGGAACTGGCATTGATCTATGGAACACCCCGGGCTGCCACCGTCAAGGCCAAAACAGATCTCAAGCTCTGGGGCATCGACAGAGACAGCTACAGACGCATTTTAATGGTAAGTTTATGGAGAAAGTCTTGTTTATAGAGTTTATATTTTTTACTTTCTTTTGTAGCACCAGCACTTCTGTGTTGAGAGTACATTGATGATAGAAGGTTGTATAGTGTGTGTTCCTGCATAAAAGAGAGAGGACATGACAATAACATTGGGTAACTAAATTGAGTGAACTGAAGGGAAAGGGGACAAGATTCAGCAGAAAGATGCTGAGTCAGAAATGCAATTGAATAACATTATGTGTAACTACTATATTTGAATCAAAATGTCAGGAGGCCTCTGTTACCCACTGAGGCTATGCAGATCTTCTCCTTATCATGGACCTCAAAATGTTTTTCAGCCCTACCCCTTGCCTTTGAAGTCTTTGTCTGAACTTGTATTACACTCTTCAAGGCAGGCAATACAAGGTAGATCCATCTCTCATATAAAAAAGTCTTGGTCTTTACATTAGCCAGTACATACCACACGTACTGTAGGATGGTAGCTGCTAATGATTCATTGCTCTGCTCCTTTCGAACTCCCTGATCTCTGCAGCAAAGCTCAACAGACCTGGGCACCTGGGGTGTGCACTAGGTTATGGATTTGTTTTTGTTTCTTGAGTCGTTAGTTTATAATGGAAACTTCATCAGATAATTAACTTTAGAAACATCATAACCTTTTTAATGAGTTTGCTTCCAGTGTCCATGTGCATGTCTTCCTTCTTCATAAAATATTCCTTTCATTTTGGTAGTTAATAGACATAACTCTTGTGTAAATCTTCTTTCTCAATAGGACTTGTCTCCAAAAGCTGCATTGTTTCATTCTGATCTGAAGGAAATTACACTGCTCTGAGAAAGATAAAGGATTGTGCATTTTGAAGTCATTTGTATTTCTAGTGCATATCATGGATAACATAAATAGCAGGAGAATTGAGTAGATTTTACACTTAAATGATTAGTTCTTAAGCAATAGAGTGTAAGAGTGATCTTTATGCTGTGTGATTGCTGGATGTTTGTATGAAGCATTGCTGGTTTTCACTCTTTATTTCATAGGTTGAGTTCTGTATCACATAAATGAACATCACACTGACATGTAGGAGAGTAAGCTGGATTGATTTTACTCCATCCCAAAATTTTCAGGTTGATTGCTCCAAGACAAAATACACCAAAGTGTACTGTCTTCTCTCTCTTGTGGATAAGCAGGATGAATAGTTTTGAATGCTTCCCAGTGCAGGGAAGCAGGCAGTAGTAACCGAGACCTTTCTGCAAGGTATTTCTTAAACAGAGAGTATGAGTATTTCCTAACAGACTTAAGAGACACACTCAGCTTATTTGTCCCATGTCCTGCACAGATGCAGTGGAGGGGTGTCTGTAATAACTAGTCTGATGAATGAACCTGCATGCTGCAAGGAAGAAACCCAAGGTATAAAAGAGAAGGAATGTAGGAGCCATAAATGTTGGGGCAAGACACATACTCCTTGTTTTTTTAAGCATAGCTTTTTACAGCTGCCTGTAACCTTGCTACTAAAGAATTGAAGGACAGATTCACAGTCATCATAGCCTAGAGGTAATTTCAGTTTTAAGCGTTGATGGAAATAGTGGCACCTAACATCATGCAATGCTGGGAGCTTTCAGGTTTGGTCATGTGTCCATTACCATCTGATAGCAGCCTTCAGAAGATGAATATTTGATGCAGAGACAGTATTTTACTAAAAGGACTTGAAGTCCCAAGTGGAAAAGACACTTTTTTTACTGCTAGCCTTAGCTATGCATACAACTTGAAAGTTATGGATATACTTCTGTTTCATTCTAGTGTAGTGCTAAGTGCTTTTCAAATGAATTACATATTCTCTGAACCAGTGATTGCTGTATCTTACCTAGCAAGCTGAGTTCCTGCAGTTGATGAGAGCTTTAACTTTACATGGAGGTGTTTTCTCTCCCTCTTGTGTTTTTTTACAGTTGAGGTCATTAAAAATTGGTGGTCTGTTGCATTACATTAGATACCCAGACAGTGTAATTGTAGCATTCTTCATACTTAGGAAATATTTCAGGTGGTATAGTGAATTAATTGCTTCAGGTATAGAAAATGTCTAATTTTAAGTGCTATCCACACTAAATGCAATTTACCTATCCAGACTCCATGAATTGTGTCATCTTTTCATATATTTGTAGGTGCAGCGTGGATGATTTCTTTGCTGTAGGTGAAATGAGACACCTGTCTTTGTGCATTCGTGTGAGGGCAGGTTACAGTGTCTCTCTGCACATTTCCTCAAGCCTAAGAATTAATTACATCATGTTTCAGTGGCTGCATTTCATACTTGAAGCTAACTCCACCATTACATGGCTGGTTTTGCTGTACTCAGTTTCAAGATGTAGTCGTAGCTGCCTTTCAAGTCACAGAAACATGGTTTCCTGACATTTAGCCACTAAGCTTATGCTTCTAGAAAGCTGCTAGATATTCTGGATGTAGAAAGGTTCTGCCTTTAAATAAGAGATATTAATGTTTAAGGTATCTTTTGAGATACATCATTTAAGATGGTTTTAAAATCAGTGAGTGAGGTTTTCTTTTTCATTTTCTGCTTGCAAATACTTTTGTCCAGGGGATCAGTGACTTCTTTCTTCCAAAGATATGGGTTGTTGTTTTCTTTTCTGTAGTGAGATAAAGCCCCTCCATAACCCAAGATGTTTTTTTCTTTCATCTACATTCCTTCCCGGCCATGACCAGCCCCATGTTTTTGTCAGTCTGGTGTTGAAATTTTATTCACATTGTAAATATTTATTTGCAAATCATACCTTCAGATTCACTCTTGCCAAAAAGATTTTATCCTGTTGTGAGCCACTTGACTCTCTACCTCATTTCTCCTTGCAGCCTCTGTTTTGCTTCTTTACTTTGCATTTAGTAATTTCTAGTTTCATGTCTGCTTAAGTGCCATTTTCCCCACATACATGTCCCATTGATCCTGACTGGTTTATGGTATGAATAAAATGCATCCCAGGAGGTTGGGAGTTTGTCTTCTTTTTTGTGGATGGACAAAGCCTGATGCAAAAAGTTCCTGCTGGCTTTTAGTTACACTTGTCATCCATTTATTATTTGGTTTGTCCCAAAGGAAGTTTGTTAAAACAGATATATTTCTTTATATTTCATTGTCGCAGCTTAGGTACCCTGATGGCTTGAAGGTTACATTCAAGTTTGTTTTAGCAGCTGTGATGATTGTAAATGTTGGAATAGTTTCTTTTGTCAGGATTTGCAGTGAAATGGCTTGGCTTTCTCTGGAGTCCTTGACAAATTATTATACCATGAAATTCATTGTACTAGATGGATTGCAAAAACCCACTCGAACATGTTCCCTTCCCAAGCACATTCACAAATTATCTGTCCATCTGTGTGTTCCATTTATTTCATTCAGTTATCTGTTCTGAGCTGCATGCTTTTCACTCTGTTGCAGATTTCTGTATGTGTGTGTTCTCTGTGCACACACACACACTTATGTATATATTCTATATTTATTTACTTACATTCCTCTGGGAGAGAGGCAAAGGAATTTTTGCCATAGGATTCTCATGTAATTCAGTTGGTGAAATGTTAACTGCTCTCTTCTTTGCAGTTGGGATTCAAGAGCATCATGGAGTGGGGAACATCACAGGGTATTACAATATTTGTATTCTAAATATAGCAAATACCACAAATACCAGAGCAGTAAATGTCTGTATCCCAACATCAGATTGAACCCCCTGACAATTCAGTTCCCAGACTGAGGAAATTTGAAGTATTAATTTCTTTTAATTTCTTCTTTAAGAAGGCTTGATTCGGAATGATTTAACTATCCTCTAGTTCCCATGGTCCAGGATACCTGGCTTTGAGATCAGAGTTGTATGGGATACAATACTTTTTGCCTATTTGGCAGACTTCTTCACAGAAATGAGTTACAATATTGGGATGTAAGTCATGACAAATCAAGTTAGTCAGTTAGTTCCTGATGTCATGCCTCATTTTCTTTATGCTATTTTGGCTTTGTTTTATCATCTTTTCACAACTTTGAACTTGAGAACAATTTCTTTAACAGGTGCCTTTTTCTATTCAAATAAAGTCAGAAGGACTTCATGTTGCATGTAGGTTGCATGGTGGCCAAAACATAAAGCCAATCCGAAGCCTGCAATCCATCCAACTTCTGTGTGATACAGCACCAGGATCTTGGCAATTTTGTTCTCATGGCCAGTATGCATGGTGACTCTTTCATGCGCCTGTAAGAATATACACCTAAAGCATCATTCAATATCAGGTTTATGCAGGGATTAAATGGGCTGGAGCACTTCAGGAGGCCATTCTGGCACCTCCTGCCAGGAGAACTTTTTTATTTGAAACTTAAGCCATGCTTTGCCTTTTGGTAGCCATTTGGCTTCTTAGAGAAGGTGGGGGTTTTTAGGAAGGACCTGGTCAATTCCACCTGTAAAATTGAAGCAAGAAAGAAGACATAAAGAGTGCTGGAGGTGCAAAGCAAAGAGGCAGGCAGAAGGGAGTAACATAGAGACTGGACTGGAGGAATGAGAAGAAAAACTGAAAGAAATCAGGGAAAGTGAAGAAGGGGCAGCTGGAAAAAAAGGCAACAGTCCTATTCAGCAAGACCTGTTACAATCTGTGGGGCATTCATTTTTCCTAGCCTGTGTATTGCTTAAGCTAAGCCTAGGGCTTGCTACGTTTTTAAGCGTCCCTAAAACTGGGTTTGAGCTCTTTTCTGTGTGGATTTGGCAAATGCAAGTGATCTTGTTTCTCCTTGGGACTGTTTCAGGGAGGAGCACTGCAACTTAGAATATTAACAAGTCTTCCTAGTTAGCGGAACCACTGTCTTTAAGAAGATGAGCTTGTGCATGACAGCTCAGAACCAGGGAGAAAGTGAACAAAGGAACAGGGGGAGAGGGAGAAGCAGCGACTATTGAAATAAGATATTAATAGGTTAGAAAAAGCAGAATTAATAAAGACTTTTTAAAACATGCCATCAAGAACCCTGCCAGTGCAGAATTATTCATGTACATTTACTATTGTTTTTATCTGGCTCAAGCAGTAAGAGTTCTACTGCTTCCCTTGGGAAAATCTTCTGCAAGAGAATAATTCCTACATAGGGAAAATATCTTTCATATTGAACTTAAATTAGATTTTCTTAATTTTCTCTTATTACTTTGAGTTATGTCAAGTTATGCTGTACCAAATTGCCTTCTCCTTCTGTCATCTGTCTGTAGATGATTATCGCTGTCTACTTAAAACCCTTGCAACAGTGCATGCCAGCTATGCAGATACCATACCTATGATCCTACTGTTGAGCTAACATCTACAGGCTGAATTTGTTTTGCTCCTTCCTTATCAGCCCTCGCCAAGTGTTTTAGCATTTTTCAGGCTTTGGTGTAGGAATACTTTTCTGGAGAAGAGGTACCAAAACAGAGTGTAGCATGTCAGGCACCATGACATCCGAGCCATGGAGATGAAGCCTCTGAACTTCATTCCTAGATAATGTCTGAGTGTACGACCAAAATAGCCTTGGCTGTATTCTTGTTGCAGTCTAATGCTGCAAAGGAGCTCTCATCTACTGTCTTTAACTCTCCTTCAGGTTTACAACTTTCCAGTCTTCTTCCTTTCATCAAACATCTGTGCTTTGGATTTTTCTTTTCCTTTGCATTTCTTAGCTGTATTTTCCAAGTGGAAGCTCATTCTGTTACTTTCTACTCCCATTTTTAATGTCTCCAAATTGTTTCTTGTATTTTCCTGTTCTGGCAAGCTTTCATACTATCTCCTATTCTGCAGATATTGTTACTGTCTGATTTGTTGTTGCTTCTAGAAGTTCCATGAAAATATTGCAAGAAAACAGACTTAGCACATGTCCCAGGACACATGTTGGTTGACAGTTCTGCAGAAGTGACTTGAAAGGTAGGAGTAGAGATTATGATGGTTTTCCTGCCTGTGGCCTCACAAGTTGGGTAAAGCAACTAGACCAAATAAAGCAAGTATAAAAAAGAAATAAGGAGTGAGAGGTGACATTATGCCTATGGGAAGGGATGAAAGGGGAATATTAGGGGACCAAGGAAGGTGGGAATTAGGCATGTTCTCCCTTTATTTCATGGGGAGGAAAAAATGATTAATACCAAGGAAATAAGCACATGCTTTGGTTGTTTATAAGAGTTCTGCTGTGTTGTTTTTAGCTTACATTAGTGTTCTCTCAAAATCTCTTCCTCTCATTCTGCTTGTGAAAGCTTTAGTAGGAAAACACACTGAAGTGAAAACAATGTTCATGAGAGTGAGCCAAGCTGCTACTTTCTGGAAGAGAAATTGGGGTATGCTTGTTCTATTGGGATCCAGCCTTGTCTGCTCTGAAAATGCAGAGAAAGTTTCTGTGCCTGCCTGGGCACCCATAGGTGAAGCTCTGCTGTCAGGTGGCTCATGCTGCCCTGGAGGCTGTTGTCTCCCTCCTTCAGGAGAGATGGAGGGTTGGATGGAGCCATCCTGCAGGTTGAGTCATGAGCCATCAGTTGGGTCACCTTGGGTTTCAGTACATGTGATGTGAAATGCGACTCCTAAGCCTCAACCACTAGTTCTTTCCTAGGCTCTTGTTCTCCCTTACCTTTGTGGTATTGTTCTGAGACATGACAGTGTAGCTATGCATTAAGTGGAGTCCCACTGAGGTTCTACTATCGCGATACAAAAGAAATGATAACAGCATATGTAATTAATTCTTTCCACTTCAGTTTTGCTTTTGCACTTGTCATGGTGGATTCTGTACCCATGCCCTAGCTTAGTTTAGCCAAGATGTAACACAACTGTTTTCCTGTAGGAGTGATGGGCTCTTGCTCTCTGGGCCAGGCGGGATGCCTGCAGTTCCTGCCTTCCTGGGTCTTGTCTGCATCTCTAAATACTCAGAGTTGTGGTCAGGTGTCACTTACGGCTACTGATTACTGCTTCTTAAAATTCATCTGTATCCGCAAGTCATTTAAAAAGCATTTTCCACATCTGTCCTTGGCTGCCCCAGCCCATCAAACTAAACCACCGGTCTGGTTTTCCACAGCTGTCAATTTTGCTGGTCTCGTTTCCACTTGATTGCAGGGAGGAAAGCAACAACTGCACAGTGTCCGGTTTTCCATGCTCTGTCTTGCAGCAAGCTGTCAGGATCTGGCATGGTTTGCACAGCCTCCTCCGTTTGAACTTCTTGGGTGTGTTTTTATTTCTGGCACTTCAAATGCTTTTCGAGGCTCCTGAGGTTGAGAACCAGGTTTGTCAGACAGAGAGGTCAGAGAAGGGTTACCGATGCTATCACTGAGGGGAGAACTGTCATCACCAGGGTCGGAAATTATGAATGGGGTGTTGAGGAGGAGACCTTGGTAGTGAGTGCTGCTGCTGCTGATGCAGAGATACTTGGAAAGAGTGGCAGCTCTTGAAGGTGCTGTTGCTGTTTCAGAGCAGGGATGGCCCCAGGAGAGGGATGCAAGGAGGAGTTGTTCCAGAAGAGAGCATCCAGCAGCTTCTGTTGGTGCTGAAGTCAGAAGCTGGAGCAAAGCCTGTTGATATTGTTGGAAAGATTCACTTTGCTTTGGTGGTCGTTGGATCAAGTTGCACCTGCACAGTGTGTGTAGGAAGAGGGATGATGTCTAATTCTTAGTTACAGCATTGCACTTGAATACACCAGTCTTTCCCATTTTCATACTGAGAGTATTTCTGTATGCTTTCACAGTGGAGAGTGAAATATTTCTTCTTTTCCTTCCTCTATCCCCACTTCCTGTGTCTGCTTTCCAGCACCTACAGTGCTCAAGTGGAGGAGGAATAGTGAAGTGTCTCTCTATGGTAGACATTTGCTTCTGTCAAACATAGTCTTTTCTGCCCAGGCTAAGAGCAAATGCAATCTTTATTTCCCCTTTCTTCAGAAGATGAATGTATCATCTTTGTGCTGTACTCCTCCCTTGTAGATCTGACTAGCAGGCACCAGGCAGCCTTCAGCATCCATAGGGACTCTACCCGGGGAGAAACTATGCGGCCTGTCATGTAACAGTGTGGAATAAACTGCATGGTACCAAGGAAAACTCTGGAGTTCCTCTTTGGTACCTGGGAAGGTTTTGTCTTCAAGTCATTTGTGTCATTGCAGAAGGAGCTAAGGATGAATTATTTTTACGTTGGTAAAACTGCTTAGTATTTATTAATACCTGGATAGCCTTCAAAAATGCATGCTGGAATGGCTACTTATGGTTTCTGTCTATGGTGCTCAAACACTATGTAAGCAGAAGGTATCTCAGTAATTTATCACACAATAAAATCTTAGTAGAGCGGGAATGACTGTACTGGTAGCTGCATATACACTGATGGATTGTCTGCTCCAAAATGCTTAAATCTTGTTAAAATAATACTATGAATAGGTTGCTCGACAGTTACAATACATGTAACACTATTCAGAATATAAACCAGGCTTACAGATAAAGGCTCTTAGCATTAAAGAGGTTTTAACCTAAAAGAATGGGACCCATGAGGGGGACATTTTAAGTTTTATCCTACTTTGTCATCATAATTCCCTTCTAGCAGGGCCTCACTGGCAACAGGATACATATTGAATTAGCTAAACAGTTAATTGATGAAGCTCTAGCTTTAAAATGAGTGCCTGTAAATAATGGATACAGTTAATCCACGGTGTCCAGTAACACCAGTGAAGACAGTGAAATTACACCAGCATTGAATTTGATTCCTTCTGTCTTTGCTTATCAGCAATTCAACTTGCCCAGACATTTTATGGGGAAACATTTGCCTTAGGCTGTTTATACTGGCTATGCTTTAGATTTGGAAAGGGAGGGAAAAAAAAGAGCAGCTGTAGGAAGAAATCACAAAAATACTTTGTGTAATTCTACCTCCTTTTTCTCTCTCTTTTAATAACAGGGCAGCACACTGAGAAAGCGGAAGATGTATGAAGAATTCCTGAGCAAGGTCTCCATTTTGGGTCAGTTGCCCTTTGGACTTGCCTGTTAGTTCCTGTGTTATACATGTTGGCAGAATGAGTTTTGGTCTTTGATTGCACGATGAAAGCAATGGTGGTCAAACAGAAGGTCTCGTGGTTGCGACGTTTCAGAGGGAATAAAAGTGTAAAGGGTCCTTTTTAGAACTTGTTTTTCTTGTTCTCTAATAGACACTGAACATGTCCTGGAGTAACGGTTGGACTTGATGATCTTAAAGGTCTTTTCCAGCCTGTCTGTTTCTGTGATTCTGTGTGTTTGAAGGACAGACCTTTCCTTAAATATGGGAGCAGGCATGCACTGGTAACCTTTTGGTAGCTGCTGTTGCAGTAAAGATCATATGGATGGAGGAGAAAGCAGTGCAGAGATATGAATTTGTCATAAAGTCTAGTTACATCCTCCCAGGTGACAGGTAAGCTGTTTTTCCTGCAAGAATACTGTATTTGTGTGCACTGAACAAAGTAACCTTACAAATCAAAATGGACTGCTTTTTTTTTTTCCTTCTTCGTATTTTACAGCCCCTGTCTCACATTCTTAAAACATCTGTTTAGCTTCTTGGGCTTGGATTTTGTTTCCCTTTGATTAATGTGATAGCCACGAAATTTGGACATGTTCTTGATGGCCTTCAGTAGGAAAAACAACAAACCCATAATGCCTGACCAATCAATCACAGTTAGGAGAACAAAAGCTTCTCATAAGGAGGACAGTGTTAGACAGGACAATGAAATGCTGGTTCTGGAGGAGAAACATCATCTTTCTGCAGGGGCTATTTTGAAAAAAACAGTTCAGGATTCATTTGCTATCTGAAGTATTTATATTTCTACTTAAGCAATTTCCTTTTCTTGTTTATGGTATTCATTTACCATTTAAGATGAGGTACCTGAAATATGAGAGTGTCTTAGTGGAAATATACTTGAACTTCTGAGAGGTGCAGTCCATGAAATCTTCAGTTATATTTGTGTGCTTAAAGTAAGTATGTTGCTCCCTTATTAATGAAGTTTTCATCATTTAAACACCTTCTTTTATGCTCAATTTAAATCTTCCTAAATTAAGAGTACAAATTATGCCAAATTACAATGGGTATTTAAAGAAAAAAGGATCTCTGCACCTGCACTAATGAGGAGCAATTACAACAATGAGACATCTCAAAACAGTTTCAGAGTAGAAAGGTTATTCAGAGATGCGCTTCCTTAAACATGTGGTTTGCAATGTAATTATATCTTCGTTTCTAGTATGGCTTTTGAGTCATAGTAAAAAAAAGAGGAAAGACTTCAAGATTTGAACCTCTTTTAAGGATGGAAAAGCAGTGGACAAAATGACATATCATTTCAGGAACATGGAGAATTTAGGTGAAATGTGTAAGGATCTATTGCGCATGTCTAAAAAGTAGATGACACCTGGGAAACAGAAAGGTATTTTAGAAATCTCAACACAGCACTGAGAAGTCCACTTCAGTTCATGCCTTAATGTGGACAGAACTCAGTGATTTCTTGGTGGAAAAACCTCTGCCTGCTTCTTATCTATACATTTTCAAGGCCTGTCTGATGTCTGTAACTACCCATACAATTGTAAGAGTAATTTTTTTTAATAATCTAAGGATTTTTTTAGATTATCAGTAGCTGCTCTTAGTATATCAAACAAAGTATGAGAAAACTAATGGTTAAAAATCTTTCTTCTGGAGTTTAATTAAATGTAAAGCCAAGAATTGATAGGTACAACTTGGAAATTGCAAAAAAAAGCATAGAGTCTGCTTCATTTGATGCTTAATTCTCCAACTAAAACATTTGCAGTTTTATATTCTGTACAATATTCTGTATAATGCTCTGTTGCTCATTAACCAATGTATCTGTAGTGGTACAATTCCCTTATGCAAAAGAGGGACACTTTGTGACTGGATCTAGAATTAGCTCTGAATTTTTCATAAAGCCAACTGAAGAAGAAGTTTCAAGAGACTTTTTCTTTTCATTGTTAATTACATAGGGTTTTTTTTTCTTTGTTTTTTTTTAATGAAAAAGCCTGCTCTAGTCTGCATGAAAGAGTTTTATGCTTATTTTTAGTTGAACAGAGCACTTTTTGAATGTTGCATTGATAATATGGGCTTGGTCTTTGACATTAACGCTTCTGCACCAAAGGTCACAAATGCACCAGGAAAGTGCATTAGTTAGGTGGGGAAAATGCTAGGAATAATAATTTCCCTAAAAGCAACAGAAAGTGGCATAAAACCATGAGACGTATGTGTGTTAGGCAACTCAAAACTTAACCTTTGGTGCACTGCGTACTTTGATCTGATTTTGCTACCAGACTCAGTGTGTAGTTCTAAGCTCAACCAAAAGGCATTTTAACTTAGAAAGACCAACTCTTTCACCCTCAGACACTACTTCTAAGCAATTTTTTTGACAAACTGGGGAAATGAGATTCTAAGAGAACAGCCCAGAATCTAATCCTGGTGTCGGAAGCCGTGTCTTAACGTACATTAGTTCAATAATTCATAATAAGAATTTATAAGAACCACCAGAGCTCTAGTACATGAATTTTAGCCCCACTTTTTGAGGCAGTGAAGGTTATATCATTGTATCATCTGTTTCTTTTAATAACTTTTAAACCTGTCACTTCTTTCAGTCAAATCTGATAAAAGTATAGAAGTTCAAGTATAATTCGTTGACTTGAATTCTCATGCAAATGAGTAGAGGAGAAAGACGTCGGTTGGCCCTCTCCTCTCTCCAAAGGCAGGACAGGTAAAATCCATCCCTTAGCAGACGCCGGAGGAGGAAGGCAGTGGGAGAGTGAGCAGCCCTGAAGGCTGCTGTCTTTTGCAGGCTTTCTTTTGCTGTGTAGGTATCACAGGGATTATGGCTCCTGCAGCTGCATGATAAGGACCCCATGCATGGGAAGCAGGCTGTGTCCATTACTCATAAAACAGACCAGTATTTTTTTCTTATTAAAGTTTACTTTGAAGTTTTGTAACATCTCTCTCTAAGTGGAGGAATGAAAAGAAAAACTTTGTAAACCATCCTGCTGGCAAATGAAACAGGAGTGCCGCTTCAGTCATCCATGTGATCCTCGGTCTTACTGCCACCCTTGCTACCAGGGTCTTGTCTGTGGCTTCAGTGGTGCATGGTCACACCCTTGGGGAAGAGTCATCTTTTCGATTCACACTTTCACATCACTTATCTAGCAGGCCATCAGTAACAGGCTGAGTGCAACCCTGAGAAAGAGACAGCAGGACTTGTTCTGACATCTAGTGTGAGATGTGGCAAGAGAATGTATCACTGATATCTCCAAACAGCTCCTAGGCTACTCCAATCCACTGCAGCACCAGGGCGGTGCAGATCTGATTGCTGGCATAGGGAACTGGAGCCAACTTTTCGTGTCCAACTTTCAAGATTATTATCTGTGTGATTACTAAAGTCTAAGACACAGAGAATAAATACATTCATGTTTCCCAACTGGAGGTTCGTGCAGAGTGCCTGGATGAAAGAAATGTTTCTTTTATAACAGAACCAGGCACAGCAGAGCTGTCAGTTTGATACAAATCATCAACCAAAGTTAGAGTCTCTTATAATAAAGCTTTATGATCTTCAATATTTTAGAGTCCCTGGACAAATGGGAGCGGCTGACAGTGGCTGATGCTCTGGAACCTGTCCAGTTTGAAGATGGGGAAAAAATTGTTGTGCAAGGAGAGCCCGGTGATGACTTCTTCATTATTACAGAGGTAAGACTGGAATCCTGATAAGCTCTGTCATTTCCTCATGAAGAGCAAGACTGTATTAAAAGATATATGGGTTTGGTTTAATTTCTTCCTTTAGCATAAATCTGAACTAACTCCATGCAAGCAGGAGGATGACTTAAAATTCAAATCAATTCAGACACCAGTTCCATGGAAATTTCTTAAGTGGAAGGATCCCTAATTTCCAATAAATTGAAGATGCAGAGGAATTTTCAGTTGTGTCTAGTGTCTTTACTGTTTGAAGGTTTGGTTTCTACATGAGATTTTTCTCATTGCAAATTGCCAATACTTCAAACAGGCTGACCAGCCATGCAGTGCACTGATCATTGTTCCCAAAGGGACTTGCAGGAGAAATTACAAATGAACGTCTGTAAACTGGAGCAGGAGACCTGATCTGAAATCTGAAATGGATAATTTGTTCTTTGTTTTGCCTTAAACTTAGTCCAAATGGCTGAGCCATTTTCTTATTTACTCTCACTCAGGCAGACAGATCTGTCAGGCAGCTGAAAATGCTGACATCTTTTTGGGAGATTATCTGACACTTCACTTCCACCATCTCACTTCTGCAAACAGATGCTGACGGGGTTTTTCCTCCCTCTCTGCATAAATATTTGGATCCTTGGTATTTCATGCAAATACTTAGGTGCTGTGATATAACAAGTTATAAAAAGATAAAGAGACTCAGCCTAAGAATAACAAGGCAGCATTAGGATATGACTGTGTATGTGTTGAAGTAGGAGCTTTTCAGTTCCAGCTGTGAGTGTTCATACACAAATATATAGCCTGGGAATGACCAACATATGGCTGTGTGGTGACAGTTCAAGTGCACATGCCAGGCCAGATGTTACATGACCAGCAACAAGGAGGTGGTGGCACAGGAGTTAAGAGGTAATCTGAATCCCTCACTGTGGGAGAAGGCGGGTCAGATTGGTTTAAGAAGTTGATATGGTTTGTTGCCTTGGAATCCCGTTGTATGTACGCAGAATACATCTCTGGCTCCATCAGGCAACTGTATTTTGATGTGATTTAGGAGGAAAAAGACCCTGCCCCACTCAGGTGATAAAGGGCTTGTACAGTGCCAATTCCAGATGGTTTAGAGGACAGAAGGTTTTTCTTTGCTTGTTCCTTATCTGTGTTTTTTTGGACGGGTGCCTCTATCCAAGACAGCCAAAACTGAGTTTATAATATCTGACACTTAAAATTCCATCCTTCTTTCCTTGAGTGTTGGAAATATGTATTTGATTTATGAACAAAGAGTTTCCCTTGTGATGCTCACAAAATTGTTAGTGCAAATAATTGCACCTGTATACCACACAAGTAAGGAACTTTAACTATGTGATGAGCAGTGTCCCTTCAAAACAAGTGTCAGAATACAAGAGGCTAGATATTAGATAGGGAATTTGTTTTATTAGCAAGATATTTAGTATATGAGAAAAATATAGGACATAAACTCTTTTTATTTTTTCCTCCAGAAATAATGGATTTTTATTTCTACTAGTGTTATTGAATGTGCTGTTATTCTTTGCAGCAGCATGAGACTAGGAAAACCTAATTTTCTTAGCCATCAAATCCCATGTGGAAAATTGGCAGCTTGCTTAAGAATAACCAAGGGCCCTTATATTCCCCCCTTCATGGAACAGCTGGTAAGACTTGAATGGGTACAAAAGTATTAACACTGCATACTGCATAATCATAAAGTATCTGCTCACCTCACCCACTATAAATCTAACATAGCTTCTCACTTTGGAAATTGCCTGTATTTTTCTACATTAAAGAATGAACACTCAATAACTATTTCTTGTGCTGCACTAGTATTTCTGCCTTTTCACACATACTTTAGGCTTTGTATTTTAAACTTGATTTCATGGGAGTTTACATCTTTGATGTTAAACTTTTCTGCAGGAGAGTTGATGTGAGCCGCCAGGAACACATTACTCTACAAACTGGTTAAAAGTAGTTTTGGCTGGTTTGTTGCCACAATATGTTGAAAAGTCATTAGCTTCCTTCATATATTTTTTGATGTTTATGGCCTTACTATCCAAAACTAGAAATGCAGCCAATTTGTTTGGCTGCTGTATATGCAAAAACCATTTCATGTATCACCAGAATGCAGTCTCCTTCAGAGCACAGTATGTTCAGTAGTACAAAGCTAAACTTTGCCACACTATTTTTGGACAAGGTACTAATTTATTATAAACCACAGTCATTCGTGGCATGCCTTAGACAAATCAGTTACCAATTTACAAAGCTTTGATGCACCAGCATCAGAGATACTGGTTCCAAGTGGGATCTTATGACTCCTACCATAAAAGTTTCTCTAAGACACCCGGGACTCACACATGGATTTTAAATTTCTAGCACAGATTTTTATGAACTTCATCAATTAATTGTTCATTTCTGGTTAGCTTGCAATGCTGCCTTCCTCTGTGATACTACTTTGGGATGTGATCTTTTAAGTATATTGGTCCTGCAGAGCTTGCACTTATAGCCTGTGAGAAAGTTGGCACCTTCAGGATTTGCAGGCTGAAGAGCAGCCATGAAACCCTTTTGAAAGGGAGTCTTCAGCCTCAGTGATGGTCAGAACAGCAATTCCTGCTTTAAACCAGGAATGTCATCCTAGTTAGTATGGACAAGCATGTTTAGTCTCCCACTTCTGTCAAGCAAGCATGTTCATATTTTCTGCATTTTTCCTAAGTGTAACCTATTCTCATGGCTTTCTGTCCACCATCTTATCTCCAATTGCACAGATCATAGTAGGGTGCAGGTTATTTGAGGTGCAGGCTGTGTGTGTGAAAATGCCACAGGGCTCTGTGGAGAGGAAGGCTGCAGCAGGAGCTCAGGCAAATTATTAGAATAACAGAAAATGTGCACAGGGAAGAGTCATAGGAAACCAGGGGTTTTTAAGTTCACTGCTCACAAAGCTGTTCATGGTTCATTTTTTGTTAAAAAGTCTGATGAGAAAAGTATTATTCTGAGATTCCAAGACAGCTACAGTTTTTCTGCCATTTTAAATCTTCACAGGCACCAGTAAGATGTTTGCTTGCAGTAGGTCGGGTGCTTTTCCATTCAAATCTTAAACAGCCTTCAACAAGATTTAGTTTTAAAATTTAAAGGCTGTGATTTTTTCCAGAGATAGAATTATTTTAATGTTTATACCATATTCCTTAATTTGAAGATAGGATCAGAAGTGAATGTCTGCTTACAAAAGCAAAGTAACCACTTCTGTGAGATTGATTTACTGCACTTGAAACTGGCAATTAAAAGGGGGGAAAAACAAAAAAGAAGCAGCCCTGTAGTTTCTGTATTTTCAGCTCTTTCCAGGTCTTATTTTCCCACTATGGTTTTCACACAACAAACTTGGGCTTTCCCAGACCAGACAGATGTGGAATGTATCTGTTGGATTCCAAGGTCATGGAATTATCCCATATGAGATTCCTGGCACAGAGGTGAAAAACTTCAAGCACCATGAAACAATTGTTGCCATAAAGAATTACATTTTGGCAAGCGTAAATCATAACAGATGTACAGTTTCTAACAAATAAATTTGCAGTTGTATTGTACGCTGCCACACTGTGTACCCAGGAGTAGGGAGGATTTATGCATCTGACTTCAGATAACGCAAATATTTTTAGCTAGCATTTTAAAGTGGTAGCTTGCAAAGGCACGTGAGCTTTGTGGAGTTAAATATCCCAGCAAATGGAAGTCTTTTTAAATGAAATGCCAGTTGAACGGGGGCTGATTTTATTCCCAACTCGTGCTTTGCCACTGACTTCAGCTCCAACAGTAGTTCAAGCTAGTGTAGTAGTGCTCTGAAACTGGAAAGTAATGAGAGTTTTGCTGTTGTCTAGGTTACTGAGACAGGTAGTGATAATAGTATTAAAAATAGCGGTTATGATCATGTACCGCTCTTTTAAGTTCAGCTTCGAACTTGGCTGGGTGGCACAGTACCTTGAAGTCCATAATGCAGCTGCCAAAAATGCAGGGACCTGCACCATCAAGTGCCCTGCTGGGTTTTCCAGCTCCCACCCCTCCCCATGTCAGACCGTTTGGATCTACTTGTCATGACCCAGCACTGTATACAGCACGCGGATATTGTCACGGGACTCCACTGACTGTGCTCAGGAAGTCTTCTAATCTCAGCTGCATACTGAGAGCTTGCTGAACTGCTGCCATATGGTCGTAATACTCCATAAAGTTTGACATGGCTTAAGAAAAATGCCTGCACAGACACAAACGTACGCAGGTGTAGGAGAAGAGAACAGCAGAAGGTTTATAATAGTGCCACACTGCACCTGAAGAGTACAGCTTGTAACTGTCCTTTAAATGTTCTCTCCGTAGCCTATCATCTCCTTGGAGGACAGGTTGATTTAAGTGGTGCAGAAAGCAACGAAATAAAACTGCATGAGGAGTAAAACATCTCCAATTAATAGTTGGTTGAGCTGCCCAGCGATAGCATGCAGCAGCAGCCTAAAAATAAAACACCTAAAAATAGAAGATAATTCACAGGAGAAAATTCAAGGAGAAATGGACCCATAGTTTCACATTAGATTTTTGTTTTTAACTTTAAAAACTAGTATATTTAATCACAGATTAGTGCTAAGTTACAGGGGGTAGTTGCGCCCTTCACTGCAACTCCTTTGTGAAAAGCTCTTCAGAATAGCTGGGGTGTTGTGTTCTTTGTTATTATCCTGCTGGTTAGAAAGGAGGCAGAGTCAGAGCATCTGATTTTCAGTCTCATCTGTATTATCAGTCTAGTCTGTGGACAAAACATTACCCTCTGTTTCCCCGTCAGTGAGAATAATCCTACTGACACTTCATCAAGGTGAGCAAAATCTTAATGGGATAAGGCATAAAGTATCCATCAGTACTGAAATCAGGCAATGGGTATAGCAAAACTGACAAGAGAAAAATATATCATTGATAGTACAGAAATCCTTTCACAATTGATACGTGGAGCTGCCTCATTGACAGAAATGAATCCAATT